CGTAATGTTTGTTTACTCTGCACGATAGGTAGCCGGTTTGACAGCTCAATAGGTACACGCTAACTTGAAAGTACTCATTAATGAGTAAAAAAAGACCCATTTTGAAGAAAAGTGGCTTAACTCATTAATGATTAAACAATTTTACCCATTAATGAGTATCTGTTACCCATTAATGATTAACAATTACTCATTAATGGGTAACAGATACTCATTAATGGGTAAAAATTTTACTCATTTAATGAGTTAAGCCACTTTTCTTCAAAATGGGTCTTTTTCAACCATTAATGGGTACTTTCAAGTTAGCGTGTAGACTTGGCTTCACTCTTGGCGTGACTCATTATACACCGACTCTAGCTCCGACCAAATCAATTATTATCTTCATCCGATAGGCCAAAGTGAATTCAATGTTTGAACGTTTGAATGCCGTTTCAATGCATTAGGCCTAATCTAGAATCTGTAGGCCAAGTTTGGGGCCAGTGTTAGATTTTTAACAATATCTCAACAGTTTGTTTCTCTTTAGCAAATCTTACAGTACGTACGGAAAGGTAAATAAATTTAGAAGTCATCTGCAGTGAAAACATTCCATTTTGTGAAAAAAAATCCACTCGAAAAATAGAGTGTGTTACTAAGGCCCAAAATTAGATCTAAGCCCTACAATAGGTTTCAAACAACTTTGCCGAAGACAGCAGCCTTCGATCTAGTCATGATGTCAAGCTTAGCAAGTAATTTGAGAACAAATCACACTTCAGCGACACTTGGATAGTAAATTCTGAACTGGGCTGTTCACCACACGGCCGATGACATCTATTCAAAGTTGAGTCGGTTTTGACTCAAATTCACAAAAACTAAGCAGCAGCCTAAAACCAACCGGTGGAAACGAACGATTTTAAATTGCATCACTACTTGACTAGCCTATTGGTCCCAAGTACATCTTTAAACGCTAAAAAATGTCAGTTTTGTCTGGACCCCTTCCGATTTGAATGAAACTTTGCTCACATGTTCACTGCTACCAATGGTTGCATTTTTCGTCTAAATATGTTTTTCTCAAGAGTAACTTTTAAAAAGGGCGTACTCAAACAATTGATAATATTTTTTATAAAAAATCACAACATGAAAATTGTTGATCTGATCAAAATTACATCTGAGAAAATGTTGTAAGTAATTAAATTTCCTTTGAGAAAAAAATACATTGAAAGAAAAATCTTGGCAAATTCATAGTAAAAAACATAAAACGTTAATTTTCTGAAAACAATCCTCCTTCGATTTATATTTTATGATCAGGGTTCTACATTTTCGAAGCTCTAAAATGAATTCGAGATTTGTTTCTTTCATACAATGTGTTCAACGCTTCATTTCTATAACGCCTAGCTCTGGGGGCAAGACAGCTATCGATCATGAGTAAAACCGAAGTTAATTTTGAGTAACTCTGAGTTACTCACGCTGCTCAATATCTTATATACTCATAGCAACCTGATTGTTATATTGAAAATTACGTTGAAACCGATGCTGTCAAGCAAAGTTAGTTGACGTGCATTCTTGGAATTTCTGTGTAGGGACTTTTGGGGTGGTTCGATATGTTCGGATAAGGCTAAATTAATTCAATAAATTCAATTCTTAGAGCAATATAGTTTGTGGCACTGCTACCATCTCTCCTGTTAATTTTTTTTTAATTGGACCGCTAAAATGTCTAAAATAGTCTTTTTTTAAATTTATTCAGTTTCTGATATTTATTCACCATTAAATACATCCAGTCAAACTTCACAATTGCTTGTTTTAATAAACTTTAATTCATTGCTAGAGGCAATACATCTGGCAACGCTTTTTCAATGATACATTTACGATTGCTGGCAAAGCGCTAAAGTTGAAGTGGTTTTCTTCCGCTGGCGAAGCTGGCCAGAGCTGACCTAATCTGACCTAGAATCAGCAGCTACATAATATACCACAATCAGCAGTCAAGGACCAATTATATTGACCACGAACGAAGTTTCAAGCTCAGGTTGTACCTCAGGTAACCGAAAAGGAGCATTCCCCTTTTGGGACGGGTCACTCCAGTCAATCCTGTATCGTCCTAGGCCTAGGCCGAGGGAAGGCGCCTGAAAGGTATCCAAGCCCCGTAAAACCGTTGTTCAGTCAAACCACCACAGTAGCATTTCGTTTGTCCACAATTTGATTTGTTAAACGAGCGATTCAATCTGTCAAATGTACGAACAGATGCTTCAAACGAAATATGCTGTCAGACGATATTTCTTTGATCAGAAAATCGAGACTACTTTGTTTATTTTTGAGTAAATATGAGTAACTCAAATTTACTCGCTTCAAATATATTTACTCTGAGTGCAGCTGTCTTCCCTAATAAAAAATAACCATAAACGAACGATAACCCAAATAATTGAACTTTTCCACTAATGGTTTGGAAGATACCCAGAACACGTCGTTAAGCAAAATAACCATAACAATTTTATTAGGGTTGCCCCCAGGCCTAGCTAGACTATCAGCTACACTCAAAAAAGTCCACACGTCTCATCGAAGTGTTTAAACATTTGATTTTTTATATGCACAATGCACAAAAATGGTTCAATGTGTTCCACACGTTGATTTCTATTTTTTCAAACTTTGAAATGTTGATCATCTTTCTCTATCAATTTAAGTGTATTGCACATTGAATCACACTACTGATCAAAACAGATGGATTTAAAGTGTTTTGGATTTAAATACGATGTGAATTGCTTGCTCAGAAAGGTAAACATCGAAAACATGAGTTGTGACATCAGCCTCATATATGAGAACAACCGTGGTGCAGAGAGATCGAACGAAGACAACGGCAGCAGCACCCTCCAACAGTCCAGGATTCAATCCCAAATCAAACCCATTAAAAAAGGCATGTGTATGCTCTGCCCTCTGGCAACTTTGTTTATATATTTGTTGATTAAATTTTGGAGTCGGTAAAGTAGAAGTCGATAAAGTAGAATATTTTGGTACATTGAACTGTGGTGTGCAAAGCTATTGATGTCCCCATGTGAGGCACATAGACTCCAAGTGTGTCACAATTCAAACCAATAGTGTTGAGGCATGGTTCACAGCATAAAATTCACACATGAAATGTATGTGTTTCACAATAAGTGCACAATTAAGTGTGATACTCATGATGATGACGTGTGGAATTTTTTGAGTGTAGAAACGAAAATGAAAAAGAAGTACGCTGAGAAGGAAAGGCTAGCTGTGGATGTGGATCTTCTCGTCTTTGCTTCGCTCATCACTTTCAATATAAGTAGCTTCGATTTTCTAGTTTAACGAAATCTCATTATGGCTTTCAATCCCTTCCACGAACACTCTATTACCGCTCTTCCAATTTGTTTAATATGCGTTATGCCCCGTTTTCGTTTTTTTTTTTTTTTTTTTAGATAAATATGTCGATGGAAGATAAATTCAACATATTGTGTGTAATCTTCAAGTGTTTTCACGTGAGAAATGCTTTAAATATATGTTTTCATTTGCCGTTATACGTCATGAAACCTCTGTTGATGTGCTTCATGAAAGACGAAACAATCAAAGTCGAGCGCTCTTTCGCTCGTCCGTTTCACCGAAGCTCGAAAGAAAGACCAATGGAGCGACGGGACGGTTCCACTTCAATAGAAAAAGAAAGCCAGCAGTTTCTTCGTCGCATCGATTTGGTAGCTTGAAGCTGATATTGTGACGCCCTGGTTATGATAATGTTTTATATTTGTGCTGCTTTACACAGTTTTATGAAATCAAGAAAAAAAAATTAAAAGAATAATGGCTAATTCAAATAAGAATGCCTAATCCAAGCACGGTTTTTTTTTTCTAAAGAAAACTAATTAAAACGAAAAAGAAAGTCGATGAAGAGAACCGATCAATGTTACTTAGGACCATATGCATTGTTCGGGTTAAATCGTATTGTATGGTAGCGCCTCGACTGACGAAATAAGCTATATAGCTTGCCCAACCAGACAACTATCACTCCAAAAATTGTAAAACTGCTATAAAGTAGTTCTGTTGTGAAAAGCCTTCCACCTCCTTCAAGCACGGAACACCTTGCCCAGTACGCAGTAGACTTTCATACAGCAAGATAATTTACGACTTCAACTTGTCCTGTCTCACATACAAATCCTAGTCCTATGACCCGTTGCTTTGTCCCTTTCCGTGTCCCGAAGATGACGACAATACGTATCGTGCTATCTATTTCATACACGGTCATAAAAATTAAGGAATGATACCGAGCCGCACGGAAACGGGAACTAGGTTCCACATGAATAAACATTTACATTTTATGGACTGCGGATATTGGTTTCCCCTCGTCCCGCCGTTCCTTTGCTTAGGAAATTCCAAACAGGACCCTCGTCGATCTCGGCGGTCTTAAACGAGGCGGCATATCTATCTATCTAGGTATCTACCTATATATGCACGATTGGAGCGCATTCAAAATTGTATACAATGCTCGTCGTGTGGGCTTTTGGTGCATGATTAATGGTTTCAGCGTAAACATTGTACGAGGTTTTTCCCTGTGCTTGAGACACCACCGCAGCAGTGTCTATAGAGAGAGGTGAAGGTGGTGCACACGTGCAGGGTCTTCTGTTGAAATATCGGTAAATGAAGGGGAGGAATATGCACGTTATACAGACATTGAGACAAATACAGGTGTGTAATGGCCATTCGGTGCAGTTAAGTGCAGCATTTTCATGGTTCACTGAGCATCGTCCATCGGTCACGAATCGGAACAAAAAGGACCTGGGGATCGACGGGGACGCATGGTATACCGTGACAGACAAATTACCGTTGAACTGACGTTACTCGACTGGCAGACCTTCTAGTGCCTCTACTACAGAAAGGATTTGTTTAAAGGGCTGCGAGGACGACGGCTGACGGTTTGGTTATGCTCGGTCAGCGAAGCGTGAGAACTTTTGCCATACGATGAAGGGATGTAATTTATCGGGTAATCGTAGTAAAATGCTCGTTTTTTTTTCGTTTGTCTACACTTTTAGGGATCATTTCCCGTTCTACAAGTCCAATGATGATCGGTGGAAGAACTCGGTTCGTCACAACCTGTCGATCAACCCGCATTTTCGGAAAGGCAACAAAGCCCCGCAAGGGGCTGGTCACCTGTGGACCATCTCCAGTAGGGACTCGGAGGCGAACTTCCTAGCTTGGGAACATGTGAGTTCGATCATGCTTGTTTTTAAGGATGGTTCAAAACTAATTGCTTGAAATTTTCAGAAACGCCAACGGTTAGAGTTGTTCTTCAAGATGGAAGCAGCCAACGCCAAAACTCAACGGGAGGCTCCCGGTTCACCTAACCAGGATGAAATTGCTGCAGCAACGGCCAGCTTAGCTCAGTATGAGCCACATTCTCCGGGGCACGGATCTACAAGCGAGGTTTGTGCCAACAAGGAACAAATCATTCTTCTACTAAATTCTATATCCCCGCAGTCCATAGATTATCGCCTTTCGCAGCCAGGATCATCCGGTCAACACCTTCAGCCATCACTTGGCCAACAACAGCAGCAGCCAATGTATGCCAGCATTCCGAACAATCAATTCGAGGTCGTTCAGGGTGAGGAACTGAAGCGATCAGCTGGAGAAATTCTGAATGGAATTCGACGAAACGTGGAAGTTCAGATTGTCCATCCAATCAACTCGAACAATTTCCAGGCTTATGCGCTGCTGGATTCCGGTACTTTATCCATGCAAGCTCCCTACAGGATCTCTCTAATCATTCTAAGCATTCCAGACTACTACCTGGCGGACTACCTGAATCCGGTATCAAAGGAGGAAATCGTGCAGGAGTGCGGGCTTCGATCGGCCGCTGGTCATCGTTCGGATGCGGCACCTCCGACCGACTACTACATCACCACGATCGATCCGATCGAACTGGGCATCAATATGAGCTCCAGCCAGGACGAGGATCAGATCCTGTTTGAGGACGACTTCAATCTCAACTACTTTGGCAATAACATTATGACTTGACGACGTGCGGCCGGTGCCAACAATGTCCAACTGATGCAACAGCAAGAAGTACTGCAGCAACAGCAGCAAGGAGAAGTTCCGCCTGAAATCGTTGCCGTTGATGCATCGGGATTTGTGACTACGGAAGGCTCTTTGGACAATGATCAGCACGTTTGAAGAGAGCGAGAGAGTGTGTAAGAAAGATTGTGAAGTGCAACCAAGTACTAGTCAGAGTGATTGTTTTTTTAGTTTTTGTTGTTTTGAGTTTTCACATTATTCATACAACCATCGTGTCTAGATGATAATCATGGTGTACATTTTTGAAAGCCTAATCATGTAAATAGTGTCAGCTGGCTGGGTAGCACAACAGCAAATAACAGTCCTAGTCAACGAACATACTTATAATCCCTTTTTATGAAACCGAAGCGTTCGTATCGCCAGAATATGAAGTTGTCATAAATCGTGCAAATTCAGTGTACAAAATCTAATTCAATTCAATACAATTCTAATCAGTACGAAAGTAAGCATGGTGTTTTATTGTAGGTGAGGGTACAATATACATTATAAACAAATAATCTACCAACCCAAATTTACTGATTTCACTTTAGACCTTAACGTTACATACTGTTTCTAAACCACCGGTGAGCGATCGAAATGGTCCCAATCCTTAATTTCTTTGAACAACGCCTTTCCCGGACTGGCCGTGGCCGAAAGTTGCTTGGCACCGTATAAAAGGTAGTCCGAATCCAGCTCCCCCAGATTTACGCCACACTGGAGAAGCTTGCTTGCCGCCCGAAGTGCTTTCGGCGAAGGAAGTTCCTTGCTGTAGTCTCCAATGAAGGCGATACCGATCGATTTATTATTGTACCCCCGGGTATGAGCTCCCACCCGATGCCATCCGATTCCCTCGAACACGTTTCCACCGTTGGAAATCAGAAAACTACGAATAATTAGTCAATCAATCACCCAATCATGAAAAAACGCACCCAAATTACACTCACTTGTAACCAATATCGCTCCACTTGTTGCTATTCTGGTGGTTGTCCTGAATGGATTCGACCATCTCCTTGCAGACGGCCACCTCAGTGCAGCTTTGCGTAGCTGTATGATGAATCACCACATGCTGGACGGGTTTGACCTGGTACGTAACGGCCGTAGACTTGGCAGCACCCCACTGGGCTCGTTTGATAATTTTCATACATCTGTCGGGGGGATCCTGTGCGAGCACAATCCACGCACTCAGTGTGATCAATAAGACAGCTTTGACAAAAATCAGCACATTGGCAGACATTTTGTGAGGTACGTCTTATCGCACCAGTTGTTTTGCTTTGACTGCGATCAGTAACCAGTTTTCGGTGAAGTTGAAATTCTAGTCAGAAGAAGGAAGCACAACAGAATGGCAACGTGACATTGATGTTTGTTCGCGTTGAGATGGGCATCTTTTAACGGGGGGATTCACCGTGCGTTGTATACATATGCGGTTCTATATTCGGTCTGTTCCTGTACTTGCTTTTCTGTAATATTCTGTACAGCAAAAAGTAAATGTATGTTCACGTACTTTCTGCACCATATTATTTTCATACAGTAATTTACTGAAAACTGCAGCAACTTACAGCAAAAGCAAAAAAGCAAATACGGGAACAGATCTAATTTGATTACGGCTACATTGGATTGGACATGTGTTAGTAGAAGTTGTGGTGGGGATTATAACCCAAACAAAGCTAGAAGTGCTAGAAATGTAAGTAATAATATCTTGCATTATCTGGGTGCTTCTTTCGTAAAATCTAATAGCAGTCGAAATCAAGCAACTTTTCCAATCCATGTATGCTGCTATTGATATTCAGAGTTACATTTTAATTTTTTAAATAAGTTTATAGCTGTCTGCATAGCATCCAGGAGGGCCCACACTATAGAAAGCTGCACTCAAAAAATCCACACGTCATCATTATGTGTTAAGTGGTGCTGGTGGTGTAGTGGTAAGCGTCTCTCACCCCTGCAGGCCTGGGATCAACCCCAGTCGGCGCCACCGGGATGTTCTGAGGCATAACATCTCTGATCACGCCTTCCTTTGGAAGGGAAGTAAAGCCGTTGGTTCCCGGTTCATGAGTTGATGGGTCGATATGTAGGGTCCAGGGGTGGGAGCTGCCTCCCCTGGCGTCGGTAGCATTGGTTATGTGGGGTTGTGTACAAGACACGACCGCATGGTTGACGTAGACCACGTTATGATGTGTAGGAAAATTCTCGTGCATTTTTCTAGATATTTATTTAAAATACAGTAGACGTAACCTATGATTTCGGTCCAATGCACATATTTTGGATTTCTTACTAAGTAAAATGTGGTTAAATTCAGGACCTCATAAAAATGCGAATACATATTTATTTGGTTCCAAAATTACAATCAGATATGAGTAAGGCTTTCTTCAGGTGATTCATTGAAGCGTCCAACAATGACCGTTATGATGGCTGATATTCCCTATCACTTCAAGATTTCTAGGGCACAAATTTTCAACGGTTGTTACATCACTTATGAAATTGAAACTCCTTGTGTACTGCACTGCTGCAAACGTAAAGTTCCAGTTTCTTTGTTATAAGTTTTGTGAGGGCTGATATTTGTGCTCTTGAAATTTTTATGTGGTAGAGGAAAAATCAACTTCGGCCTAATCGCTCATTCCCGGCCTATCGAGCACAAAACATCAAATATATCTATAATTACGGCGTGAACGTGTCAAACAAACATTTGGTACGATGCTTCTATTCAATATCTGCAAGAAGAAGTGTTGAAGAACGCAAAATAAGATCTCGAAAACAAAAGGCACACTTGAAGTGCACGCGAAGTCAGTTTTCTTTCCGTTCAATAGAGAATCACCGACAAACCGACATGAATGACCATAGCTAAAACAATAAAATTTCCGACCAAAGCACACTAATGACATCTGGCTCCGGGTTCGCTGGAAGTATTAAGCTAAGCCATGAACCTGCATGCAAAAGTTATTAATTGGCTCGTGTATGATCTATTCTGGACAAATTATTTTTGTCTAGATCAAAAAATTCTATGGTTTTGACAGTTCGGATCACTGCACATTTAAATCGACGGTTTACGATTTTCGGGCATAAGTCAGAATTAAGTGTCATGTCGGTTTGTCGGTGAGAGAATCCCAATGGCGTTTCAAAAGCTATTAGACCCAGGAAAACTGGTAGGCCAAGTTGAGCCGCCAGAAGTAGTTTTGCATTTTCAACAATAAACAAATATTTTGCGACCCCTTATCAGAACTAACGGTACATATAAAAAAGTTAAATACATTTGGAAGCCATCTGTAATAATAACATGCTGTTTGGTGCTAAACAACGCTAGATTAAGAAAGACTAAGTGCGGGTTGTGCTTAATAAGCCGGGAATGGGGTACACACTAAAAAAATCTGAATTTTACTGCTGATGTAATCATCCATGCATGTAAACATTCATGCATGTAAACTTCCTTTTCACGTAAACTAGCAGCTTGCAAGAAATGTTGCAAACAAAGGTGGAAAGTTGCATACAATATATGGAATATTGCATGACATGTCTCATAAATTTACACGATTTATAATGTAAATTTGTATGATTTATGACGCTCTGTTTATGTGCATCATAGTAACGGGAATTTACACTACTTTTTTTTAGCTGTGTAGTTAACACTAATAAGATTGATTTGAAATAAGGTTTCCACAGCGATTCAAATTCAAAACGCTAAAAAAATGCACACAAAAAACGGAGTACACAATTTTGCACCAATGTTATGCAACATTTCGTAATTGATCGGGAATATCTCGATTAGCCATACATATCTCCAAAAAGTTCTCGGTACATCTACCGATTGAGCAAAAAAATCTAAATATTGCTGATATTTTTAAAATATTTCGTTCGCGTTTTGTAGACACACATGCATCATTTGGCATTAGAACACTGGGCGTTTCTGTGGTGGAAAAAAAGTAACTTCCATATCTATCACAGATTACAAATTCGACAGTGAGCATACATAAGGACGTAACCGCGATGATCGATTTTCTCTTTTAATAATAACTCGCTTGGATTAACATTTCTCGGTGCGTTTGCTGTTGCTTTTGATCACCACCTACATTGAAAAAATTTCAGATAATATTCAAGCTGAACATTGCATTAGGTCCTTAGAAACATTGATCGATTCTCTTCGTCGACTTTCTCTTTCGTTAATAACTTGAGCATATCAGTGCTAACATTTGAAAACGGCGCAAAAGCCATTTGTAAACAAATGGTTTGTGGGCCCTTTACTCGCTACCCGAAGAACGCCCACGCAAACCAACAGCATCGTCAGGAAGGGGAAAATTTCCCCTACCCGATGTTGCTGTTGTGTCGCGTGGGTGTACTTCAAGTAGTGAGTAAAGGGCCCACAAACCATTTGTTTACAAATGGCTTTTGTGCCGTTTTCAAATGTTAGCACTGATATAACCGTTTCTTGTTGTGTTTGTCGTATTGAGATGCTAGATAAAAGCTTCTTTTATCGATTTTGTACTGAAAATACCTGGGAATGTCTTTACATGACCGAGGAGATACTGGGAGAAAGTCGACGAAGGCAATCTTGTCAATGTTAATTAGAACCTATATAATGCAAGGTTCAGCTTGAATTGTTTTGCTTAGCTGTACACGCTTTTCAAAACTACCCACATTTGGGTAGAATCCACCCAGATCGGTAAAAACTGAACATACCAAAAATGGGTAAACTGCGTTGGGAGTTACAAGTTGACAAATGAACAACATCGACATGAATCCTATCGACGTTGTTAATTTGTCAACTTTTTTTTTTAACTAGTTCGTTTATTTACTAGGCTCAGTCGTGTGTGACACTTTGCGGAGCCAAAATCAGTAATGTTTGATTTACATTTTAAATAGCAGTATTTCTAGGTTAGTATTGGGTACCAATTACTCGTGGCGGGCTCGAGGTTAATAGGTAACAATTTCAATTGGAAGGATCTAGGTAGGAAACTGGTTTCTGAAGCCTCCTTCAGATACTACTCTCGGACGGTTGACCAAATCCTGGCTGGGTAGGGGCAAGTAGCACAGGAACAGGAGGATAATAAGACTGGGACACAATGGCGGGAAATTGTTTGGAAAGGAGGGGATAGTCACATCAAACTCTAACATCAGACAAACAAAGGAATTCGTAGATCGCTTGCATGTAGGGAAGATCACGTGTTCCCAATACATCTCTTACTTCACGGAAGGGTTGTCTACCTCGGGCCACTAGGGTATCCAATAGTTGTGCTCTGGAGGCGTCATTACCCGGGCAATACCAAACTGCGTGATCGATGTCATCATAACCGGTTCTGCACCTACATATATTGCTGTCAACGAGGTTTATTCTATAGAGATGTGCGTCTAGCGAGTAGTGGTTGGACATAAGTCTTGACATCACTCGAATGAATCCCCGACTTACATCCAGACCTTTGAACCACGCTCTCGAAGAAACATTTGGAATAATGGAATGTAACCACCGCCCAAGAGAATTATTTGTCCAATCGTTTTGCCAACTTAAAAGAGAAGTCTGACGTACTAATGGGAACAATTCATCATGTGAAATTCTTCTATCATAAATCTCGCCTTGTTGTGCGCCCACCTTTGCGAGAGAGTCTGCCTTCTCATTGCCTGGGATTGAGCAATGTGAGGGGACCCATACAAAGGTAATCATATATGATCTTTCGACCAGCAAGCTCATCTGCTCCCTTACCTTTGAAAGGAAATAAGATGAGTGCCTACCTTGTTTCATCGACCGAATAGCCTCAATCGAACTGAGACTATCCGAGAAGATGAAGTAATGGTCTATGGGCATATCGGAAATCATCCCCAATGCAAAGTTGATTGCTGCTAGCTCAGCAACATAAACGGAACAAGGTTCCTGAAGTTTCCGAAAGGCGGTTGAGTATTCATTGAAGACGCCGAAGCCAGTGGATCCATCAATGCGTGATCCATTTTTGTCAACTTGTCACTCCCAACATAGTTTACCCATTTTTTAGTAGGTTCAGTTTTAACAGATCTGGGTGGATTCTACCCAAATTTGGGTAGTTTTGAAATAGCGTGTGACAATGTAAAGAGATGAAAAGAATCGATCATTGCAAGTAGGTGCTTTTGAACGCTCACTGTCGAATTTCAGTATATACCTACCTAGCACTGAAAAAAATCGACGGTACATCGATTTATGCTAAGAGATAAGGATTGTATATCCCTCCTACTTGGAGAATTTTTCAATAGAATGGCTTGCTATGCCTTGCCTTCTTCTGCAAAAAATCTGGGATT